ATAAAGAATGCTTTGTAACATACTTCCTCCCACATGGCATTGCAAGCAGCATGTCCATTTACAGGAATGTGGTGCACAGCTGGAAAAAGTCTTTGTCCAGTCAGATAATTCCTCAAGTTACCAAACAGGAGATGCCAAGCACTAGATAACAAACTAGGATCAAAGTAACATTAGCTCATTGATTTTTATGGGTCTGACCTTTTGTCATCTGATTAAAGTGTTTCCTCTAATAGAAAACCAAGAGTGAAGTAAAAGTCTTTAAATAAAGGCTGCCCCCCTCACTACATCCAGCTGCATGCCTGCAAATGTCTCACAATAAAAGCCTTCTGTCCACTCACACATGGAGCATTGGATTTATGTTGAACACCTGGGTTTGGAGGAAGCTAATCGATGTTAGCCAACATTAGTAGTTAATTTTGTGTTTGTTCCTCTTTGTGTAGAATTGGCTCACTGATGCTTCGTTTGCTTTCATGTTACTTTAGTGAAACTGTGACACCACGAGTGCAGTGCTGGCTGGTTTTGAACAGACTGAAGCTTCACTCGTGGAAATTAGAACAACTGTGTGAAGATTCAATGTTACTATAATTTCTCGTTTTAAATACAGACCTGTTGCATTCTGCAGCTCAGGTGAGTAAAGGTCTCCGAGGAACTGCATTATGCTGAAAAATTCCTTATCAGGAGAGGTTTTTTTCCCAACATGCCCGCGGGTAGCTGTCGGTAGCTGTGGTTAGCTTTCTTAAACAATGACTTTGTGTGTGCCCTTGGCAACTTCATCTGGGAGAGAAGGCACCCGGCAGCACAAATGAAGAAGAACATTCATTAATTCTTTTTAGGGGGGGCACTAGACTTTAAATTGATTTTGTGCTTGAATGAAAACAAACTGTGGAGCCCCAAGTGAGATTATTGATGCGATGTTAGCCATTAGTCACCATTACAAAGAAAGCAAAACACTTTGAGTGGAGGTGGAGGTAATCGCCGGATGCCTTTCTGTTTCTGACAAAAACAAGTTTTTCCCCTCTTCATTGTTGCATTTGAGTGATAAGGAGGCAGACGCTCTTGGAAATAAATACAATAAGAGCTTACATATCTCACCCAGATCAGAATCTGACACCTTTATCTAAGATAGTGATATTTTCTTGAGAACATTAAGAGAATGAGTTTTTATTAATTCAGTTTTAAACTATTTTCTGCTCCCACTAGTAGAGTTCTTTCAAAAAATTCTGAAAATGGATGAAAAACAACAAGTTTATCACGTCTACACTGGAAAACAGCATTTGGTAACAGTTTTCATAGAAATCTATACAATCTTCCAACATGTTGTGACTGTATTGATTTAGAAGTACTAATACATGCCCGTGCTGCAGTACTGCTTTCTGTGTTGGTGGAATAATTGGCATATACTTATTCACATTGAAAAAACAAAAGTTAGAAATGAGATATGTTTATTTGCTAAAAACAATCATTTTAGCCCATTGCTGGGTGGGGTGTAAGGCAATGTGATGATATATCATATGTCATGTAGATCAGCGGTCCCCAACCCCCGGGCCTCGGACCGGTACCGGTCCGTGAGTCGTTTGGTACCGGGCCGCGAGAGTTGAGGCTCAGGTGTGAAGTGTATGGTTTTCAGGTTTTTTATCAGTTTTCAGCGTTATTTTGTTAACGTTTTTATCGTTAACTCTGTTTTCCTGGGTCTTTTCACATGTGTTATGAATAAATCTTCTTTTTTTTCGGTACCGGTACTAGTTTTATTTTGTTGTATTTATCCGCGACACCTTAAAGGCCGATCCTTGAAAATATTGTCGGGCATAAACCGGTCCGTGGCGCAAAAAAGGTTGGAGACCGCTGATGTAGATGAGAACCTTCTGAGTTCTGCAGTGTAGCTGCGCACCAGCTGTAGTTTGTAGGAGTCATGCAGACACATTTCATGTATTATAGTAATTATTTGGTCTGCACCTAGAGAAGTGTGTGTGTGTGTGTGTGTGTGTGTGTGTGTGTGTGTGTGTGTGTGTGTGTGTGTGTGTGTGTGTGTGTGTGTGTGTGTGTGTGTCTCTCTGACCGTAAACAGTAAAGGGAGTAAACAACAGATTTGAATCACTTTAGATGATTAATATGAGGAAATAAAGTCTCAGCATGACATCACACCTTTAGCCTGTGTGACATAAAGCTGCACAACCACCTGGTTAAAAATCAACATATTTCTTCAGCCATTACAGCATTAAACAAGCCTGAGTCACAGTCAGCGTATCCCAGTTATTACTTGCCCATTTAAAAATAAATAAATAAATAAATTGCTGTCCATAAATTTATTTAAGTGAGCGCACACACACTAACCAGCTCTAATGTCCTCCTACTATGACATCAGAGTTTCCAGCACATCTAAAAGGAGAGGCTCAGTAAGTCAAGTGCTGTTATAAATCTGTGAATAATTTCTTACATAAAGAGCTTTTTAAGGATAAACCTGATGGAGCGTTTTTAAAAAGTAGAGAATTATTAGTAGAAACGATCTCTGTTATCACAGCAGAGCGGTGCTATCTGATCACACTGGAATCTGTGCATAATGTAGGTGTGTAAAGACCGCAGGAGCTTATTAAAGCCATGAATCAAACGCTCAACGACACTCATGAACTTGCTGATTTCCTCTCGCTTGGGTAAAATTGACAGTGTTATTCAGTGAACCAGAAACCGTGTCAGTAACTCCTCTGGAATTGTCCATGTAGCTGCTGACTTTTCCATGCACATGCACTCAAAAGCACACAGTGTGTATATTATAAAATTACTTAGGTTGGGTGAATTTTCCGACTGGTCAATGTAATTATAACAAAATTGAGCCATATTACTCGTTATCTACATCCTTGTCTCGGGGCAGGTTTTGTTAGGTTCGTTAAAAGTACAAGCTAACATTGTTTTCATTACAGCAATGGAAATAATTTGGAAATGATGAGGTCTTTTTAAAAAGTCTACACTGAAGTAATCTAAAATGTAAATGTATTTTGGAGAAAATCTGTAATGAGCACCAAAAACAAAAGAAAAAGGCATCGAAGCATGACGTGTTTCCTGCTATCACCTCAAGTGTTTCTTAAATCAAATCAAATCAAATCACTTTTATTGTCACATCACATGTGCAGGCACACTGGCACAGCACATGCGAGTGAAATTCTTGTGTGCGAGCCCCACAAGCAACAGAGATGTGCAAACACAACAACACAAACGAGCAAAATACAAGAATGGCCAACCTGAAACTAATAAATATATGTACAATATATAATAGTGTATGCATTTCTGGATGTGTATACTAAATATTTTCCTACGTGTGTGTGTGTGTGTGTGTGTGTGTGTGTGTGTGTGTGTGTGTGTGTGTGTGTGTGTGTGTGTGTGTACACATTTTTACAAATTAAATAGTAAAAAAAAAAATAATAATAATAATAAAATATATAAAATATACAGAGTTGAATATGTGCAGAACAAGTGGCATTTATATACAGTATGGAGTGCATAATGTTGAAGTTCCAGTAGTGAAGCTGAGGTGTCTATGACGTGTTCAGCAGTCTGATGGCCTGATGGAAAAAGCCTGCTGTTGTTCTGTTTACTGTTCGTCTGGGTTTTATACTTATTTATATATATTGTCAACAATAGACAGCTGCTATTGTTTTTTGTTTGTTTTTGGGGTTTTTGTCGTTGTTGTTGTTGTTGTTGTTGTTGTTGTTGACATGTCAGTGAGACAGTTCATGCTTCGAAAGAAACAAGATGCTAATCAACACTTGAGGCAAATCTAAAATCTAAAATACCCCTAAACTTCGCTCCAAAACAAAGACACACAACCTTGGGTGTTGTTTGTTTGCCTTTTCCTAACATCCAGTTTCCAAACCCTAATATTTGCTTTCCCGACCATTTATTATTAATTTAGCACTCGTTAGCAAGTCTTAAAATATTTCATCTAAGTGATTGGCTTTTTTTAATGGGCTCCATCACATGCCGTGCACTTCCTGTAACATGCATTAAAATCTGGAGGTGCTCTCCTCTCTCTATCTGGTTCAATAGTGTTACATTAAAGCCTCTGCCATCTTTTTTCCACTGACAGAGTTTTAAAAGCCGTAAAGCCATCAGTACCTGAGCAAGTCACTTACTGGTATCACTTTAATGCATATATATTATGATAATCTTGTTCCCTGCTTATTGCTGCCTTAATAATGGAACACTTCATTGATCCCTGAAGGAAAATCCTCTTTATGCCTCCACGTTCATGCTGAGGCTAGAGTGCAGTAACCTGTGACTGTGGGTGATGGATCCACTCAGGGATCTTTGAGCAGGGCAGATGCTTGCTGACATTTGTGTTTGCACCGTTTTAATCCTTTTTTGCCGGGAACAGATCCTGATTTGCATTTATAAATGTTTTACTTAAATCACCAGAAAAACTGAGTTACAAGGAAAACGAGTTTGTGGTAAAGTGAATGATTGTTTTAAACTAAGTGCAAAAAGAAAGCAGTTTAGTGCATCTAAATGCTCTGCCTTAGTTTGAATTATTATGCACTTTGTCAGCACGCAGTAATGCTCGCACGTCTCCATTTCTGATGTGACTGACTGTAGGAGGATCTTCTCCTTCTACAAAGCTTCTAAATAAGGAGGAAAAATGAATGGATGCAGTCTGTAAAGGGGAGTACATGTAAATTACAGTCACAGAAATATCTTAACAGCTGCCAGTGTTGCTGCAGTTCACTAAAACAATGCTGTAAAACCACAGCATCCCCCATGTTTGAACTCCCAGAGCCCCACTTTACCTTTTCCAAGAAATATTTAATTCAACAACACTCGATTCCAGCAAACCCGTCATCCGCTGCAAGAACAGCAGCAAAGGTCTCAGCAGTCCTGCTGCTGTGTTTCAGTGCGGTGTCTCTGAAGCTACCTCGAGATTTCAGTCCATTATGGAGTCTGTGCGTGTCGCTCTCACAGTCTAAGACTCATCTGCAGTAAAGTAAATGTTGGACTTGCTGTTTGTTTTACAGGGCGAGATGAGACCATGCAGCCTGCCAAGCCAGCCAAGCCGTCCTTCCTGGAGTACTTTGAGCAGAAGGAGAAGGAGGCGAACATTCATAATGACGGAGGAGGAAAAGGACAAAACAACGCTGATAACCGCAAACTGCCCGGAGAAGGAGATCTTGAAGTGGTGAGCTGGAAACGTGGCGCACACTGTTACACTTTACCGTGAAGCCGTTACCTGGTCCACTGAACACCTGTAGATGTTACTGAATTCACATCAGTACAAGCACTGAGGTGACAGGAACTATATTTAAAATGGCACCATGAACACGGCACAGGGGTATGATCCCCACCAGCTGCTTCGTTTTCAATAAAAAGTAGAGGTCTTCATTTTGGAAATGTTCCTGGTATCTAAGTGAAATACTGATTAAATACAAGGAAAAGTCACACAGGTTTGAAAGTAAGAAAACACTCAAACCATAAATCTGATGGGCGAAGGTAAATATTACCTGTACAAATACTGTGTGTGTATTTAAGTGCGCTGCTGCCGTCTGCAGTCAGGTTGCTCTAAAAAGCAACACGAGTAATGGAGATGAAGACGGTGAACCAGCTGCACAATGAGCCGTGTGATTCAGGCTTCTCTCCTAAAATAAAGTTACTAAACTAAACTAGTGAGGATTGAAAACTGCCAGTAGCTCATAAACTTATTATAAATAAGAAACTACCAAAGTGGATGGAGGAGATGGAGCTAACCCAACTGCACCTTCTCCTTTGGCTTTATATGCATGCAGGTGAGCCTCTGCAGCTAATCAGAACTCAGATTAAACCATAGAGAAAGGGCAGGAGGGCGGAGGTTAATCACAATATGGATCGGGCTGAATGCTCCTTAGAACCTCTCAGAATATGTCTGATGTCTTCAGATCAACCTGTGGAGATGTCTAATAAACAATGAGTGATGTCTAGACCAAAATACTCAATTTTGCTCTTCAAGGGCCTGATATCCACTTACGAGGACGTTATACTGCCACTGTTCTATCGAAATTTAAAACGAATATCCTCATATGTGGATCTCATTTTTCTCAGAAACAAAAATCAGGTAATTCTTTGTTTTTACATTCATCAAGTGCCAATGAGCCCAAATAGCAAAGAGAAATTAAAAATGCCATGGAAGAGTTCGGGTCTTAGGTTAAAGAATTTAAATTCAAAGCTCTAAAAATGGTTAAAATTTAGTTTATTGTAGCTTCTGAGTTGCTTCACTTTTCAGAGCCTGATGCCTCAGATGAAATCATGTTAACGAAAAAGCAGAGGTTGTTTGTCTCGCTCAGAGACATTTATGCTGGACGCGTGGCTGCTCCTGCTGCTGGAATTAAATATTGAATATGTGACCTTTAACTGCGAGGTGGTTTCTCTTACCTGATCACCCAGCTGCCGTTTCACCTTTAGCTGTTCAGACGACGCATCAGCAGAAAGCAAAACGATAAATAAAACTACAGGTAGGCACCGAATCCTAAAAGCTGAAATTATTAAAAAGAAACAAACAAAACAATAAAGCAAAATTGTATTTTGCAGAATTTATTATCAGTGGTGAAGCTTTGCTTGAATTATGTACAACACTGAATTTCACAGCGGCTGTTTGAGCCATAAAAGAACAAAGACGTGTGTTCTGCTGAATGTGCGCATGTATGACTTCATAATTTTCAAGTGTGTGTGTGTGTGTGTGTGTGTGTGTGTTGAATGCACTTATATGTGTGCAACTGTGCGTTTGAAGTCGGTACACTAACAGACAGTGACGGCTCCCCGCTGGTTGACCCTGATTTTCCCTCTTGTTCTCCTGGATCTTTAATATTGTAACTGTTCGATGTAGGAAGGAGGGAAGAAACACACAGTCACTCACACTCACACTCACACACACACACACACACACACACACACACACACACACACACACACACACAGGATCATCACAGAGGTGTATCGCTCGTGGCTGTGACGCCTACATGCTGTCAGGTTTGATGCTTGTCAGGCACACGTTCAGTTAGAAGATCGTCTCTCAGTGACTTGAAAAAGTTTTGGATTGTGTGTTCGAGGGAGACGAGTTGACTTAAACATTTACATCTGCACTCGAACACGCAGGAATATAAGCAGCATGCATTTATAGACAAGAGGAAGTACATGACAGATGCTTCCTGTCTACACTGTTTGATCAGAGACTGCGTTGAGCTGAAATGCTCCCCAAAACACTGAGGAACAGGACCTGCACATTTACAGGAAGTGTAGAGCAGCTGGCTCATAACTGGACATATGGAAGTTCCAGTTAGGTTTGCTCTTTGTGGTTTGCATTGTTTTAAATGTGTTTGTTATCATCAGCCAGTTTAAAGGTGGAGAGCTCACTCGGGGTTGGTAATGAGGTGCTGCCCTCATTATGACCACGAGCAGCAGGTGGCGACCAAATGAATCAGAGTGTGGATGCAAGCAGTGGCAACGCAGGACTTTAATAGAGGAGCAGATTGATTTGTTTGTTTTCTTTCAGTTAGTTTTGTTATTACACAATACTGTTTATTCAAAGTGTAATCTTTGTATTTTAGTCAGCTAAATTATCTTTTCAAGACTTTTCAGTTTAGTTTCAGTATAACTACAACAGCACAGAGGATAAACGCAGGTTTTACTAATACTGACATTTTCACAGGTTGAACTTGCCTTGTGTTTTGTAGCACAGAGGATCTGAGTATTTCTGTGTCTGCGGTGCATGAACATACTGCCAATTAGCACTGAGCCTCTGTGTGTACAGAGACGACCTGATGGCAGCAGAAGTAAAGCTGTTTCTGCAGCGTTTAGGGGAAAATCAAGTCGGCTTTACTCGAAGACTCCAATCCCACTCGGGGGGATTTATTGTTCCATTAGACTTTCAAATGTGAGGATAAAAAGCTAATTTCTTTTTGGATCTCTAATACACTGAGACAGCTTGTTGACAGCCGCATGCTGACTGTGTTTAATTTTAGATATGTCGGCTCTTCTATTTTTGTATTTTGCTATCAGATGTTTTTTTAATGCTCTTACCCGGGACAGTCATGTAGGCTCGTTGAAAACTCCAGCAGTTTGTGATTTATACATGTGCTTTTTAAAATCTTTTCGAGGTTTATTTCTTCCCACGCAGGGTTGCTCTTTCACTCTCGTCTCTGTAGACCCTTGCTAATAGTGTCCCCATTGTACATGGCAGAGGTGTTTGCATAAATCACCTTTCACCTTTATTTTAAGGTGTGTCATCATCTTGTATAGGATTTTAAGGTCTATATATAGCTGTCCTGCATTAATATTTACCATTTTAGCTGTGGTTTTAGCTCCAGCCTCCTTAGTAGTGTGACAATGCAGCATAAGAACATATGGAGGAAAGCACTAACCGGCATTATTCATGAGAAGACGTAGAACAACCTTCCCCGCGCACCACCCAGCGCTTTCTCTTTTTCTCTGTTTTCATTCCCGTCTATTTTTGTTCTTCACTTATTGGTTTCTTTTTTTCATCCCTCCTGCTGCTTTTTTCCATTCTCTCTATCTCTCTCGCTCTATCTCTCTCTCGCTCTATCTCTCTCTCTCTCCTCTTCAGATGTAAAGGAGTCCATGTTCTTGGCTGGCAGACGGTCAGCGGATGCAGGTTGAAACCAGTCACTGTCTAGTGAGCCCTCATCTGTCACATGATCTGTCAAAACGTAACTGTTAAACAACTTAAAGAGACATGCCAACACACACACACACACACACACACACACACACACAGACCACTGGAGTTTGTTTGCTTTCCTGATGGCGGCTTCAGTGCAGTGGTGGGGGAACTCCAGGCCTCAGGGGCCGGTGTCCTGCAGGTTTTTGAGGTGTCTGCTGGTTTAAATGGCTAAAGGACCTCGTCAACATGTCCTGAAGTTCTCCGGAGGCCTGGTAATGAACTACTCATGTGATTCGTGTGTGCTGACCCAGGGTGATACCTAAAACCTTCAGGACTCTGGCCCTTGAGGCCTGGAGTTCCCCCACCCTGCTTTAGTGACTCATCTTATAATCTCAGCAGACATTATCTTTCAACTTTTCTTTATTACCTTTCCCTAGCATCCTCATCCTCTGTCACACCAGGCTTCTGTATCTCCTTCAGTAGGTTGTCCCTCCTTTGTGCCTTCCCCCGCCTCCTCCACCTTCAGCCAGTAGCAGTTTCCTCAAACACCCTGCTGGTGATCAGCACTGGGAACAGTTATTGTTAACCCATTTAATTTAGTCATTCTTGACACCACCCTCCCATTTATCCGTGTCTTACACCAGCACTAGGAGTACCCTAGCTTTTGCTTGTGGATGAATGGAAACTTTGCATAAAGGGTTCAAAACCTCTTCCAGGGAGCCGTCATGCGTTCGAGAGGGAGTCAGACTTGGTGGGAACACGTCTGAATGTCTGAGTACAGCCAGAGCCAGCAGGCGCTCATTGTTAAAGATTTGTGTACCTTAACTGAAAATCAGACGTTCTCCACTGCTTTAATGAACATGGATTTGTTTCCAGAGGTTCCTGTTTGAGTCTTTATGTCTGGAATGAAAGCAGCTATTGAACAGAAGGCTCTCTTCAGCTACTCTGAGTCTATGGCTCAACTTTTGACCTCTGTGTGATCGAGGCTCAGAGAACCCTAGAGCAGCGGTCCCCACGGACCGGTTTAATGTCAGACAATATTTTCATGGACCGGCCTTTAAGGTGTCGTGGATAAATAGAACAAAATAAAATGATACGACCAAGACAAAAACTGGTATTTGGCATTTTGTAAATATAAAAATAAACATAAATTCAGAAACATGTGTAATTGTGTAACTTTATTAGCAGCATCCTCCTGAAATTGCGCCAACAACACTGAGAGTAACATCCCCCTCTCTGCCCCTTAATGCTCTCTGGTCGCTATGGTAACACATCAATATTTCTTTCAAAATAAGACACAACTGCAACACGGAAAAAGACCCAGGGAAACAGAGTTAACGATAAAAAACCTGAAAACCATAAATTTCACACCCGAGCCTCAACTCTCGCGGCCCGGTACCAAACGACTCACGGACTGGTATCGGTCCGTGGCCCAGGGGTTGGGGACCGCTGTGCCAGAGCAGTTGGAGCCTGGTGCTTCTGCAGGGCCTGATGAACTAGCAGAACAACTTTTGCTTTGAATTTTACTCTGACCAACAGTGAGATCCCATATCAGGTTCCCACGGAGATATATCGAAGTTCTGTTTTGTTTTGGGTTGTTTTGCAATCTTTAATTAATTATTGTGATAATTAGCCCCATTTAGAGAATCTAGCAGATGAAATGCTGCTGTTAAAGTGTAAATACAGCTTTAAAGAAAGGGAGTGAAAAGCATCCTGATGTGCTGCTCGTCTTCTGGATTTGCCGCAGGTTTTTGACACAGCTGATCATTTCTATAGTTTCAGTCATTACTCAAGAGAAGTAATGTAACGCATATTAATCCTTACTTAAAAAATCATGCAAATAATGCTTTACTGAGAATAAGTAATCTGGTAACACTGTTACATTAGTTCTGTGGTGAACTGCAACACTGAGTTACATTATTACCAGTAATCAGCTGTTCTGCTTTTTCATATTGTTTATTTCATATTTAGATGTGAATCGAACAAAATCTGTCCCGGAGTGAAGAAGTGAGGAAACACTTGATGGGGCAGTGTGCTCTTTCTGGTTGCTCCTGAGCAGACTGACTCTATAACGCTGTCCTGCTTAGAACAGTTTGAAACAGATGAGAGAATAGTGCTGTTGGTGAGCCTGATTGCTCTTAAAGCTGCACTGAAGTTTGTTTGAAATGGAATCTTTAGTTCTTGTGACGGTACATCCATTTCTACAAGCAAAGCCCCGTTTGTAGTCTGCGCACACTTAAGAAGTTGTGTACTCATAGAAAGCTCTGAGCTGGCAGGACGAGCTGCAACAATGTCAGAACAGATGAGCAGCTTTGTATCTGCAGCCAACAATACAGTGAAATCCTTTAGCTCTTCAGCTGCTGAATGCTCCACTGTTTTTGCAAACTCGTGTTTGGCTGCTGAGATCTCACAGAACTGTTTCTGCATGAAAGGGAATTAAAATGGCAGAAAAGTGCTGAGATGAGCTGAAAAGGGAGAATTCAGCTGTGGGTTTACCACTACAGCAAAATATGAAAACTACAGATCCACACAGCAGCCTTAAATACCCTTCGGTTTGATAAGGATAGGTGGAGAGGGAAAGCCCACCCCCATTCTTCTTGTACAGCCACCGAGTGCTTTGATGTCGTTCCCTTTAGAGGGCGGCTCTGTGTTTTTGGTCAAATTATGCAGCGTGCTGTGGAAAAGCTGAGAGAGCAGACGGTTTGTAAGCAGTTAGCTCAGGTGCTAAATATTTCATAACCAAAGTGTGTGTTTTTGTAGTTGTTTGCTCAACAAAATAATGCATCACAGCTGCAGCTGAAAAGAATGCGCTCATAACAACATTATGGATAATTCATATTTTCATTTTAATGACCGCATCCTTAAAGAGGGACTCCTCCCTAAACCCGGCATCGAAAGTTACAACAAAGTCAAGAGTGTGCTGTGTCAAATGTGTCAAAGTGCATCAGGTGATTTTATTGGTTTAACTGAAGAAGTCGTCAAAGTTTTAGTTTGTGTTGAAGTTTGAATGAATTCAGTCGGCTGTGAAGTCGAGTGCACCGACCGCTGGAGTCGAAGCAGGTTTCAGTGTTGAGGATTGTGATGGGAGGAGCCGAGCGATCCTTCTGTTAATAACAGCAGCAGGTGCACAGGTGTGATGTGCGTCTGTGTTTAGGTGAAGCACACTTTCACTTTGGGTTTGAACCTGCTGATCAGCAAAAGTACTGATAAAGCTCCGAAGGTCACATCTTTTTTTTTTTCTTTTTTTTTTTTTTCTTTTTTTTTTTGCCTGTCTCGTTTGGCTCTTTTGCATCAGAATTGTTGTCTAAAGGCAAAGAAAGATGCCCAACGGATTTACTTTACCAAACTGACCATCCCAGCCTTGCCATAATGGTCCATTTGATTCACCTTTTATTGTTTATTTTATTTTCACTTACTGAATATGGGACAGACTTGACTGGGGGAAAGAAAGAGGGAAAGAGAAACAGCTGAGAAGAGGGACGGGGGAGAAGGGCAAAAACCAAAAACCAACAGAATGAGCAGAAAAAGAAAAAAAAGAATAAAAAAAATTAAAAAAAATGCATATATCGATCACCTGGGTCACCTGCTGAGAAAGAAAAAAGAAAGCAAGCAGAAGAGAACAAGAGTAATAGAATAAACAACATCACAATGATATATGGGAATATGACAGTAAATACTAAATATTAAACATTATTGTGCAGCACATAAGATCAACAGAACACAGTGTGCTTTGAGGTAGGAGCCAAAAAGGGTGTAGTTTGTGGGTGTGATCACCCGTGTGTACACCTGTGAGCATGGACCATCAGGGTGTACACCCCACCCCTGGCATCGTTGCCCACCTCTCAATGTTAAATACACGTAGACATTGAGGGCCAGCAGGAGGGACCATGCGCTTACCTGCTGCTCTCTGGCAGGTAGCTCCATGCCCTCCTGGGTTTTAAATGCACCTTAGAACACACATGCATCAACATTACAATGAGCGGGTGGAGGGAGGTTTGGAGTCTTCTCTCACCCCCGTTCTCTGCGACCTGCTGGAGCGGGGGGGCTAGGAGGAGGAGTTGGCCGTCCGACTGCGGTCTGGAGTGTGGGGCCTCCCTGCTGCTGCGGAGTCGGGGCGGTCTGCCTCCCCCCACCGCAGGGAAAAGGGTAACACCACCTGGGTCTGGGTGCAGTTCCCCCTCCAGGGGCAAGGGTACCTAGACCCGGTTCGTAGAGTACGCTTGGGGAGTGTGATCGTGTGTACAACGTCTCTTTATGTCTGTCTCCACGTTGGTTGAGTGTGGAGTAAGTGCATATGAGAGCATGAGGGTGGGAATGGATGTTTGTATCTGTGTGTGCCTGTATGTCTGTGTCTATATGTCAGGTTGGGTGTCAGGCGCCACCTCTCTGGGGACATCTCAGGCCCTCCAAGGTTTGGAGGCCTTTCTCCCCCTACCACCACTTCCCCTGCCAGTGGCGGACTCCCTCAGGTATCGGTGCGTTGGTGGTTCTTTGTGTCCGGGGATGGGCGTCCAGGTACACACTGGCTCACTCCTTGGCGGCCGCTTATCGGGGCCTGGAGCCTGGGGCTCGCTCGGGCCACTTCGGAGGTGGGGTGCCCCCGGCCTCTCGGCCTGGGGCTCGGTCACTCAGGCACAGCTGGCTGCCGGCGGAGCTCACGGGCGCGTCACTGCAACCCCCCCTGGCTTCTGCTCCGCGGCTGCTGAGTGAGCCCTCATCTGGGACTCTCCTTAGCTCTTACTGGGACAGTGTGGGTCTTCCTTGGTCTCTTGTGTTCTGGGGGCCTCTGGATGTCTGGAGTTTTGATCTCCTCCATACCTGCTTCATGCCCTGGAGGACGGGGCTGTGGCCCCCCCACACCCTCTAGCAGATCATTACATGAAGGAACCTTTTAAAAAACAAAAAACAAGCGCGTCCATGCCCGAAGGTCACATCTTAATATTCCAGTTAAAACCTCCCGTTGCTGTTTTGATGCACTTCATCATTTATTTAATAAGTGAGTATTTTTTTTATTGGCTAGTTTAATAACCGATTAATAATTTATTGGCTAGTTTAATAATTAAGCTGTCTTCTCCAAAAGTTAAAATGCTTCTGACATAAAATATATATTTGTTGGTCTGTTGGGTTAATTTTACTTCTTCATTGATGAGTCCATAAATCAAAGAAGGTCTTGTCCCATTTTTAAATGCTTTAGTTGGATGATTCCTGTAAGCAATACTCATGATTGATTACTGTAAATATATTGAATGAACTGGACATATCAGCAGCAAAAGTTGATGTGAGCTTTTGGCCCTTTTGGCCGCTTTTTTGGAGTCCAGTTGTAGGACCTTCCCTTGTTCACGGTTATCTGTCTAGTGGACTCAAACGGCGGCGTTATTTTAGCTCTATTGATTCTGGGTAATAAATAGCCTGAGAGCGTTGTGCTGCTGGTAAAAGCTGAGAGGGGGAATCCCCTGGGGAAAAGCTAAAGCAAGCACCAGGTCCCTGTCTGAGGCCGGCAACCGAGAGAGGAGGGATTGAATACAAGTCAATAGATTCATCCTTTGAAAGCTGCTAAAATAGATACTTTCATCAGACACTTTGGTTATTGCTGTCATGTGTGACGTACTTTGAGGGCGCGGTAAAGGTTTTTGTCAGCGTCCACTAATGGACTGCGTCCGCGTTGATCTTTGACCCTAAAGTCATCAAATCCTGCTTCGAATGTCGTTGTGACGCGTTGTGTGTATCAAAAGCTGACCGTGAGAGTTCACTCATGACAAACGTTCAGTGTTCAGAAAACTTTGTGTTTCTCGTAACTATAATTTAAAGCAGAGAGGTGAGAGCAGGGAGGGAGTCTGAAGCCAAACTGTGAGCTGGTTCCACATGAGAGGAGCCTGAAAGTCAACGCTCGTCAAACTCAGGGAAAATAAATGTTTGCTCTTAATGAGGTGCCCTGACTTTCCGTCTCACACACCCGAGGTCCTCGATGCTGATGAATAAGCACAGCAGCCTTAACATAGTTCAATGTGTTCTCCTCTAGGTAAGCACGTGGTCGGTGGAGGATCTGCGGCTGAAGCTCGCCTCTCTGGACCCTCAGATGGAGCAGGAGATCGAGGAGATCCGCCAGCGCTACCAGTCCAAGAGGCAGCCCATCCTCGACGCCATCGAGGCCAAAAAACGAAGGCAGCCGAACTTCTGAGAAGTTCTGAAGGATTTCTCTCACGTTTCCCGCAGCAGTTTGGAGGAACGTCACCGAGGCTGCTGGAGTTTCTGCGTGATGTGACGTTTGGGGAGTGAGGATTATCGGTTTGACGTCTGCCTGCTGAGCTTTTGGACCTTTGTCTAAGAAAAACTGTAGAAAAGCTGTTCAGCTGAATATCATTGACATTTATTTTGTCTGCTTGAGATCCATGATCCTTCTGTTTGTGGCATTTCTTTTCATTTCAGTATCATCAGCAGCAGTTTTGGACTCGAGTTTCTTTCTGCTTATTTCAAGCTTGCACACAGTTGCTTTAAGGAGGTGAACAGGTGAACATACCTGGAGACCGTCAGGTCCTGTCTGTAATCATGTGGTACATCATCATTTGAACTGCTGACTGTTAAACTTCGGTACTCGTCTATTACTTAACTTCTTGCCATCATTGTTGGTGAAGCTGCGGAGCTTTTCTAGGTTTCTGCGTCTGACAGCGAGGTGTTTTATAGAACAGGATGAATCTTCATTCTTGAAAAATGCACAAAAATGTAACATGGACAGTGGATAAAACTGGGTTCTGTCGGCACGTCTGCTTTTCCAAAGATCTCTAAAAGACAACAAATCACTGAATTTGAATTCACAGCTAAAAGCAGAGGAGATAACCAGTTTTTCTCCTCTTCCACTCGACTGGTCATCTGAGAGATGCTGCACATATTCTGTGTTTCCACACAGTTTTCTCTGAACTCCAAAGCTAAGGTTTCTTTCAAAGCTGCTTGAGGAAACTCTCTAATCTGGTACATGTCCCTGCGTTTCTGTTTTCTACATTTCATAACTTGGTGTTACATTGAAGTCCTACTCATTATATCGGACTTTGTGTTTGTGCCTCGCGACCAAACTGTTACTAGATCTTTTCTTTTGTCTTTGATCTTCTGTGGGCTGAAGCACATTTCTCTCACTCCTGCAGCTGCAGCATGAAGCCAGCCTGCAGAATTACTTCAGTAAAGAAGACAGAAAAATGGGATCAGTTAGTGCAGAGTGTGGTTCGTGAACCAGACGTATTCTTTGCTTTGTAGAGCACATCATTTCACTTTTTCCAGTTTTATATATTTATAAGATTATGCGATCGTCATCTCAGCTCTTGGGCCAGTTAATGAGGAGTGTTTACAGTTTACAGGTGATGATTCTGCTCTCTGATTGGTTTGTTCGGTTGGGTTTCGGTTGTCTGTCGGCTTGTGGGTCAGAAGATGAATCTGACAGGTTGAGATGATCAAAAAGAAAAGAAAAAAGAAATCTGGCTACATGAAATTACAAATCTGTAGAACTATGTCAATATTTAGTAAATGTTTCTAACACACTGTAAATTAGGAGTTAAAAGACATTTTCAAGTGTTTCCAGTTTGTGTCGACATTCATAACTCCAGTATTACAGTACGTCATCAGTATCCTGTCATTACAGCACAGGAGGAGTTATTGTTGTCGACATGCAGACTAAATGAAGTGCCCTTTTTATTTTTTTATACGTTTCCTTTGTTTGAGTGGGTCTCTGAGTGTAGCACGGGGCACAGTGGCTGCCCGGCCGCTGGTTTGACTCGTCCTCAGATGAACTTCGCTCACTGTTCTCGCTAAACTGAAGCAAAACTTGTTGTAGAGAAACTCCCTAAAGTCCAGCAGGGGGCAGTAGACAGATTTTCCTGAGTGAAGTGGAGTGTGTGGAGCTCGGGGGCTAAAATGATTGTGCTCTACACAGAAAATCCCTCATTTGACTTTTTTTGTGTTTGTTTTTTGATAAAAATAAAATTACACTCAGGCCATTTAATTTTTCTTCCAGTGAAGCAGATTTTTTTTTTCTTTCGAGTTAAAATGTTCGCATTGTGCTAAAACATGCTGATTGGTCAGGACGGCCCCCTCGACTATGCCCGTTCCCAGAGCAGTGTGGTTGAACCACAGCACAATCAGAAGCAGCCGGCTGTGATTGAAGGCGACTGTATCTAAAAATCTCTCCTGCTCGCTTCATGACTGAAATCAAAGCTGCTGTACTCGTGGTGCACGCTCCTGTCACGTCTCTAATACTTACAAAAACGTATTTTACTTCAGCTGAGCTTGTTTAAAAAGTATTTAGAGAGAGAAAGTAGAATTATATACACTCTCCTGCCCTTCTATCAAAAATGTTGACCCTGCAAATTTTACATTTTTGGCTGCAGCTCAATGAAGTCTCCTTCATTTTGGATCGTCTCAGCACGACTCCCTACAAAGACGTTCTCTGACAGTGCCTTATTCTCGATTAGCCAAGTGACCAATCACAGCAGGGCCAGAGGTTCTGTATCAGTGAAGCCTGTGAGGAAAATCCTGCATTCTTTAACATTAAACATGCAGACGTAGTCTGCTGCAAAATGAAACGATGAAACTGTAAATGAGCATATCGTGGGCACTTGTAACGTTACAGTGTGTTAGGAACCATTTATTAATGTCTCCTTATAAATGTTTGACAGTGGACGATAGATGAGAAGATCTCATCTTTCTTATATCCGTTTACTTGCTAACTGTTCCATCTCTCCACAAAGTCATTTTTTGAAAGCACAGATGATGGTTTGTAAGTAAAACATGAAGTTTGGGATCCTAAAACTTCTGAATTTTGATGTTCTGATTGTTGATTGCACCAAAATGTGAAATATGAGCACATTTGCCTTTTTGTTTAACCACCAGTGCCCTTCTTATTGTTTGGATTTTCATTTCAGATCCAGTTTTTTTCTTTATCTCTCCTAAAATAAGCTCTAAAAAAACAGACCTGGTTTGACAGATTTATGGAGCAGATTCAACAAAGCTTTTATCCCCCCGGGTTTGATCTGGCACAGCGGACTCGACGAGGCCGCTCCTGAAAAAGTGCCAAGAAGACTTAACTTCTGACATTCCTTTAGGAGGTCCAGCACAAGAGAAAATAAGGGACGGTTTATATTTTTCTACGTAGGTTTAGCGGTGACGCAGTCAGTCGGCGAGGTGACGGTTTGTGTGTGTGTCCGGATGAAAATGAGCTTCTCAGGTCATAAAAACTCCTCAGGGCTGTGAAATAATGGCAGAACCAATTAGAAAACGCTGTAGATGGTTCAAAGTTCCTTCATACACGGTCACGTCTGTATATATGAGCAACACTCGGCTGCATGTGTATATTTTGATTCATTCAGCTGAAAAGTTCAGTGTCAAAAACAGGACTTTAGAAAAAATGTGAGAACGGCTGCTTTCAGAGGGAAACCCTTCAGATGGATTTCATCACACAATGCTGTATTTAACGGGTGGTTCAAATCCACAATGTGCACATTTTCCTGTGGCCTGCGGTGCTCTTTATCCACCAGCCATGTTTTAGTCACATGGCCAGTTTCCTTTCGGTCCACAGCATCATAGCAGAAATAAACATGTTAGCAGCCTGCTGCAGAAATGTTTCTGCCCTCTGTGGCTGTTTTCATCCTTCATAAGAACTGTACAGTGGGTTCACTTTTCCTTTATGTCTGTTTAGATTTGATTGTGGCTTGAAATTCGAATTGTCCACCTTGGGAAGCTGTAGCTGACCGTTGTCTGTCTACAGCTCAGCTAATTTGGATCATTTCTCTGTGTTCACACTGTTTTTTGAGCCTTTTTGTGATGCAGATCATCCATCAGGTCTGTGGTTACAGTCATTGACATGCTCGTGTTTTATCAGCCTGTTACTTTGCAGTAATAAGCAGCTGTAGGCATGTCTGAGACCAAACTGATAAAGGTGGATGGATATCAGTGCAGGCCGGAGGAAGAACCTGTGAGTTTGTTTGAACTGCCCCTTTAAGCTGGTTGGTGTCTCCTGTGTTTCTCTGTAAGATGATGACTCATGAGCACAATTCATTTCCTGCTGTGTTACAGGCAAAGCTTTTTCTGCCTTGTCCTACCAACTGTGGATGCACTGTGGGGCTGTCAGAATATAAAAACTGGTTTTGATCCCTCGACGTTCAGAAAAAGGGGACACATATTTAAAATAATGGCGCCTGATTGTTGTTGAATTATTTGCATGAGCTGCTTGTTGCTGCCTGAAATTAAGTCAAAGTCACTGGAGACTAGACAACCTCTTTTTTTTTTTTTCTTTAATGTAACAGAGACACTTTTAAATGCTTCTTTGATTTTCCAACCTTTGACTGATTCTTCATAAACTGCTGAATATGGAAACCACAACAAACATCAGAAAGCATTTGCAGGTTTATTTTTGGTACAGCCAAACTTCTTCAACCTTGAGACTGTTGAATTTTTACTTTGATTTAATATAATTTACATGCTTGAGTTTAAAAAAAAAAAAAAACTGAGCAGCATGTCAGTTTACTCAACGAGTGATTCATGGATAAATCCATACACTCAAAATGAGGCTCTCTTTAATCTCTACGTTTGTTTTGTGAACATTTCTTTCTTTAACTTTTTGTTTCGTGCTGGTTTTATATAACTAGCTGTTTAATTTCACCTCAATATTCAAGCACAAACATTTTTTGGATCAAATAAAGACCAGAATTGGATTCTTGGAAAAAAGTGAACAAACGAACAAAACAAAGAAAACCAGAGAAAAACATGAAATGTTGCTTTAGTTCAGCAACTCCAGATTAGACTTTTTATTTTACAAGTTAATCTAAGTGAAAATCTTTCTGCCGTCTTGTGTCTCTGCCTTTTGTATAAATCTGTTTGAGCATGTCAGGATCTGAGTTTGCTTCCTGTTGGCGTCGGCCTTAAAGTCAGCTTGTGTTTGAGATCACTGGTGTTTGGTTGGTTTGTGTCCTTTGTGGGTTTTTTGTTGTTTGCTTGTCTAACAAAGAAAATAAAAAACTAAAGCAATAAAAGATGCTGCTTTTACTTTTGTACATATAGATTCTTATTAAAGTTCCAATTAAATCAAATGTAACTGTAAACACGCAGCAGACACTTCATTAGGTACACCTTGGCAGTAACAGGCTGGACCCCATTTTTCCTTCAGAACTGCTTCAATTCTTCATGGCAGAGATTAAATATAAAGAACACTTCTCAAAGATTTTGGTCCATGTTGAAATGACAGCATCACAAAGTAACTGCAGATTTGTCAGCTGCATCCTTCATGTAACTCTCCTGTTGCAGCACATCCCAAACTGAGACTCAACACACCAGGCAAATTATATTTCATCATTTGTTCACCAGTTTTAATAAGTCTGTTGCAATTATTGCCACAATTTCCTGTTGTTATTTGACAGGTGTGGTCTTCTGCTGTCTACAGTTCAAGATGCTCTTCTGCATATCTTGGTTGTAACGAGCGGTTATTTGAGTTACTGAGTTACTCTGACCTCTGACATCAAACATTAACACAGTTTCTGCTCACTGGATATTTGCTCTTTTTTTTTAACCGTTCCCTGTAATCAGCAGTTTCTGAACTACTCAGACCTGCTGCTCAGTTGGAGCTTCAGCAGGTCGTCTTGACTCTACGTGGCTAAATGTACACTGTTTCTGCCATGTGACTGTCTGTCAGTATTTCCATACTGGATTTTATATCTGATGAAATAACTGATGTTCCAGTTTGCACAGTCATGCTCTGCCTTCATCATCAGCGTTGGCTGCAGGACTCTCACTGCCTTCTGCACTTTCTGAAAGTTTTCTCGTGTCCTATCAGATCCATCACAAACACCCAAACGTTTTAGGCACGCCTCGTCCCCCTTTTTCTTGTTTCCTCTCCTTGTTCAGACTTTTGACTGTCAGCCAAAATAGCAGAAATGAATTTTTAATCAGCCAGTCACGAATCTGATCTCTCTCTCCTTCAGTCTGTCTGCAGATGTGCTGTTTGTCCCGACAAAAATAAAACAGAAAGTGTGTGTGTGTGTGTGTGTGTGAGAGAGAGTTTTCCTAGAAAGAGGACATCCAGCACTGGGGCAGATCTACTGGGGAGCAAGAGGGGGCAACTGCCCCCCCACTGTAGAGCCTTGCCCCCAACCTGCTGCATGTTGCTGAGTGTTCTTGAGCTTTTTGCTCTTCCTAAAGCTCTAAGATGCTGCCCACCTGCATATTTAGGGTTCAAACTATAGAAATAGGCATTCATGGCCTTTTCATTCACCACATCCAGGAACGTAGGGGCTCTAGGAACGCAACCCCCACAAATTCCGGGGGTTGACTGGATGACTGGATAAGCCACCTTTGTCTGACTGTTGCTGTGATTGGGAGCTACATGATTAAAATTGAATTGAACTAAATGAATTGGATGTCTCTCTCTGAGACTGACAAACCCTGACGGCACCTGAATGGTCGTGCCGTCCTAGAGGAGCTGGACTACCTGTGCTGCTTTAAAGGAGTCCAGCCTCTCCAGGGCTCCTGATGTCACTTTGATCCAAAGCAGCTGAAGTGGAGTCGGAGTAGTTTTTGCTTCCTAACTGGACAGAGAGATGTCCTTGATGCTTAACTGCTCTGACTGATTGTTCCCTTAATCCCTTAATTGTTTCCTTTTGAGCACTGTTGAAACTTTACAGTTCATCCGTTACTTTTTCTTCCAAAGTCCTGAACACACTCTCATCATGCTGAAAAGGCAGACGTTGCACTGTGTTTAGGCTGAGAAACATTGTGCCAAGGCTTTTTCAAATGATGACAAAAACCTTTCTCAGTTTCTCTCCGCGTTTTCAAACAGACAACAGCGTTCAGCCCCAACTCGACGTGGCACAGCTTCAAACTGTGGATCATCAGCTCTCTGTCAGACTGGAAGGAATCCTGCCCGGAGACTCGTCCGACACAAGCATCCATTATGTGAAACTCAAGCTAAGCTGCAGAACAATCTTAATGTCGTTCATCCTGCGGAAATTTCACCCTGCTTGTCTTTCAGAACGAAGTTTTGGCAGAGAGGTGACATTTAAAGGGCCAGTTCACCCAAATCCGATTCTCATTAAGACGTCTTAACGGTTTCAGTCCTCTCAGAAAGAAAGTTGTTATAGTAAGTAAACCAGAGGTG